TAGGTTCATACATATTTTATATCATGCTATAATCGTCGCTTACCTCATGGATGTGCACTGTGCTCTATGCGACAATACACAAAAGGGCAACAACATTTTCGAACTTGTGATTGTCGGCAAAACAATTGCCGATTAATCGATTTTAGCCAAAAGATTTCGAGGTGGGTGTCGTTGATATTAAGTGGAGGAAGAAGTTGCAGCGGAGACGAGGAGGATGGTGGCTGGCAGTGGAGAGGGAGGAGGAAAAAGTGGTTGTCTATGTGAGGAAGAAGAAGATCGACGTCTTCTTCTGATGGCGGCTTAGGGTTTTAAATAATTAAACTAATTTGTCTAAATTAAAGGGATTAATAACTTTAATTAATTAATTACCAAAATTAATTAAGTTAACATTACAACTTTACCACTGTCTAAGTTTTTGAAATGATTGGTCCACATTAATCCCTACATCCAGACAATATATACAAGAACATATGAACCTAGCTTTCTCTTTCTCTTTCTCTTTCTCTCTCTCTCTCTCTCTATATATATATATATATATATGTATATATATATATATATATATATATATATATATATATATACACACACTACAAATGTCATTCTAACCAACAGGGCCAGTCCATTGGTCTATGGTGCCCAGGGCGACATTAATAACAATGCCCATTTTAACCCTCATATACACAAATGACAAAACACACATAAGGATCTTAGAATCCTATTTTCTAACATAAAAAAAAATCTAGGCATTTTCTGTGCAAACAACAAAATCATAAAATGTTAAAAAAATTTAATACACATATCAAGCTAATTCCTAAGATCATATAATATTTAAAAGATTTGATTATTTTACAAGTATGAAGCGTGACACCTAAGCAAACTAATATGTATTTAAAAAACTACAGCCTCTTTACTATTATTTTATAAAATATTTTTTCGTTGTAATTTTTGAATTTAACCTAAACAAAAAAGCAATCTAGTTATTTTCTAAACAAATTCGTGAATATAATCATCTATCAACACTCACACACATATACATGAGTGTGAGAGAGAGGCCTTGTAGTAGCTGGTGTGATTCCATACTTCAGAAGATGGAAGTGGTAGACCTAAAAGTCAATGAGTTGCAGTAAATATTTCACAAATATGTTAGTATGCTCTAAGATCAAGATCCCAACAAAATTACAATAACTAAATATAATTCATTAGTTTCAAATTTCAGCAAAACCTATTCTAACAAAACACCCTAAAACTAATACACCAATAGAATAGATCCAACATAAGCAAGGGGTAAGGATTTCTGCATGTTAAGAGATAGATAAAAGTAAAAAAGCATTTTGATCAAAAATATATTTAAAAAATCTCAAATTTTAACAACACAAATACACTTTTTGCTACCCTTCAGATCATCCAGATTAAAAACTACAGTAGCTCAAGATAAACTTTACCACCAAACCCACCTTGGGCAAAACCGTCCAGATCACTCTCTATTACCTAAAACTCAAAAATTTAAAGAGAATAACTTTCTGGGGCACTTTATATTCAGCATCTAGTAAGTTTTATGTGTCGTTTAGTATCCTGATACTCGTCTCCTTGTCTTCTCCTAATCCCTTCGTCTTCTTCAAGTAGGTGTACGATTTAATTTGTTGAGCGGTTTGGCGGCTTCCTGCTTTCAAATTTAGGTCGACGCCTACCTTTTTTAATGGACTGGACTTTGCTGTCGGACTTATGGATTATTTCGTTGGCCCAAATTGAAGATACCCATAACATCTTCCATAAAATTGATGTCCCATAACTGTTGCTGCCCTGGGCCGTAGCCCAGCTCGCCCTTGGCTTGGGCCGGCCCTACTAACCAAGTTCTAGTTATGAGAGCAACCCAAAAAGGACTTTGTTTCTAATTACAAGTATATACCAATTTAGCTATGAGCTTAGACACTTTAATCTAACACAATATCAGTAGGAGCCATGAAGAGTTTATTGTAGAAAACGTGATCAACCATCACTACTGGAAGATGATTAGTATAACTAAATCAAGCATTCTCTAGACCATCTACTGATTTTTTTTATATTCAAATGAAAAACAAGAAACTAGAATTACATGGTACAATACAAATGGTTATTAGCACATGAGTCTGTAACAAACATTTACCGATTTCTACTTGGCTTTGAAAGCATGAAAACTCCTATTAATTGTCTGCCTAATAAATTTATTGGGCTCTTTAGCATTACGTCTTTTTAGCCTTTTATCCAGGTTAACAGTAGATTGTTTTCCTATTTATAGTTGTCTTTTCTGTTCCTTGTAATATACATTTTCTCGATAATGAAATCCTAACAATATTTCTCTCTATTGTTTTATTAGCTCACATGATACTATTTTATTAACTCACATGATATCAGAGTTCTATACAATTATTTTATTAGAAAAATTAGTATTTTTTGGTATGATTTTCTTGATCGTTTTTTCTTCTGTTGGCTATGAATTGTTTAATCTCGATGGTGTTGTTTGAATTCAGTTCTATTGCTTGAAGTTATAATGATATGATATTTAGTAAACTAAAAGACTTTCTTATAAGAAAACAACTTTTTGCCGAACAAAAAAATAAAGGTAATATGAAAAATAATAGATAACTTTATTTAATATTTGATGATGAAATCTGTCATACTATATTATAAAAGAAACATTTTTTCTTTCACCACATTCATTTGAAACTCCCATGCATTTTTTCTTTCACCACATTCATTTAAAACTCCCATGACTTTTCAAATTCTTTCTAATAATGATTATAAGTTGATTAATAAGATTAAATAAATATCAAACCTAAAGTGTAATAATATATAAACTAAATTTCAATATTAAAAAAATATCTTTACTTCTACTTATAAAGTTATGTTTTTTAACTTTTTACATATTATACTTAATTTATTAGTTTTAATATATTTGGTGGATGTAAACAATTATTATTTTAAAGCTACAACTTTTGAATAATTTGTATAAAATATTTTAATTACAAACTTAAATATAACATTACAATGCCAACTTAAATATAACATTTAGTTTAACTTAAACAACCCAAAATTATTTTGTAAATAATTAAAAGTGATAAATTGTAGTGTCTTTCTAAAAATGATTATAATTTGGTTAATAAGGTTAAATAAATATCAAACCTAAAGTGTAATCATAAATAAACTAAACTTCAATATTAAAATAATATCTTTACTTCTACTTATAAATTTATGTCTTTAACTTTTAACATATTAAACTTAATTTATTAGATTTAATATGTTGTTGTATGTAAACCATTATAAATTTAAAGCTAAATGCAAAAACTAAATTATAATATCAATTTAACTAAAATATTTTCTAAAGATATTTGTATAATCGTTAAAAGTTTTCAAATAAGTAGCTTAAAATAACTTACAATAACAATAGTTAAAAATAACTCTATATAAATGATTATATTGTTACCTTTAAAATCAAAAAACAATGTCTGATGTTTTAAATAATTATAATGATAGAAATTAAAACATTAAAAAAATAAATTTTAAAAAATTAATTAACAATAACAAAAACTATAAATAACATTAATCCATATATTATATTTAATTTTATTCATGAGTAACTCGCGGGTAGAAGTCATTCAAACAGTTTAGATTATACAGTTATAATAGATGTATATATTATCATATAATTCAAAATAATAAATATATTATATCAAATTAGTATACGAATTATTATATCAAATTTAACAACAACGTTATTGTTATATTTAAAAAAACATATAATTGTAAAGATTTCAAGTATGTACGTGTTTCTGCACAACGCGCGGGCATTCGCCTAGTTTTATCATAAACTTGACATGTTAAATCCTTACAAGTTATAACACTAATCAACCCACATTAAACAACCTATACCTATTATATGAACGGCAAATCAAATAATCAACAATCAATTATTATGATCATGAAACTGACTTTTTACCAAATAACTTAGACGAATGAATTACAACCGTAAAAACCTCTTACTTTATAATTAACAAAACTCAAATTCGAATCATTTGTCAATCTCAATCCCAAACCAACAAAATTACACTTTAAAAGTATAACATGGTTTTTTTTTTTTTTTTTGTGTGTGTGTGTGTGAGAGAGAGAGGGGTTGGTGAGAATTGTGCTGAATTCACCAAGCTTTCACCTCAACCAAATCCTTGCCAACTCAATCAAACTTTACGAAGAGGGAAACAACAACCACATGCAATCACAATATAAAAACCCGACATTGTCAACATCCGGTGTTTGCCTAGCCATATCAGTAATTTTAGCATGATATAAAACCGATTATCCAATAAACATAAATATATTATTATTAGGGAGGAGAGAGTCGTTCCCTCCCAACCCACCGAACCCACTGTCACATCAATTTTTCTCTTTTATTTTTCTTCATCTTTCCGAACCCACAACACACGGAAATCCTATCTTTTTTGAACCCACTCAACCCATTCAATTAAAAAAAAATACAAAACAACTAAGGTACAAGTTTTAAAACACATGGTACAAGAGAAAATAAGAAAGAGAAAGTAGAGAGGGATGATGAAGTGGGTTAGTGAAACCAATCAACCCACTCGTTGAAGCGGAAGTGGTACCGCCGATAACTCTATTGCTAATTAAGATTTTACATTTGATTGTTTTGTATTTTTTTTTAATTGAGTTTTGTATTTTTTTTTAATTGAGTGGGTTGAGTGAGTTCAAAAAGATATGATTTCCGTGTGTTGTGGGTTCGGAAAGATGAAGAAAAACAAAAGAGAAAAAGTGATATAGAAGTGGGTTCAGTGGGTTGGAAGGGAATGACTTCCTCCTCGCTTACAATATCTAAAACCTATTAGTATGAACATAACCAACAAAACACTTACGTAAACACCCGTTTAATGTGTAATTCATGACATACACGTGTATATTCCGAAACTATTAAAATATAAAACAGCCAATAGGCTCCTATTCGCTGTAAATTATAGCCCAATTATTATTTTATTTTTTTCAGAAAAAAAAAAATCAATCGGAAGAACGTGGCTGCTGCGAAAACATAGAGGCGGTAATAGAGAGACTCTGGGTTCATCTTGTTTCTCTGCTGCCGAGATACTGATCGATCTCGACGAACGATTCTGATCGCAATCGAAAGTCTACAGATGGCGGAGCACGGCGGCGGAGGCGGATGTTGTCCGCCGATGGATCTGTTCCGTTCAGAGCCGATGCACTTAATACAAGTCATTATTCCAATCGAGTCTGCTCGCTTGACCGTCTCTTACCTTGGAGATATCGGCCTCATTCAATTCAAAGACGTCAGCACTTGCTTTCTCTATACTTTTGATTATAATTTATACAGATCATTGCTGTTATTGATGTAATTGTTGTGAATTCTTGGTGCATCGTGAGTTGAGCTAGTAGTGATTTGCAAACTGAGGTTTGGATGTTAGTTGATTTATTACAAGTAGGGTGTTGCTACGTTTTACGTGAGTGGTATTGATTGATCGAGCTGAAAGTTAGGGTTGGTTGGCTGAATTCAGCATCCTGATTTTTTTTTTTTTTTTTTTTTTTCGATTTGATCTTTTGGTTTTTAGCTAGTTATATGCTATAGCGATCTATGAGTAGCTGAAATAGTCGTTTGATTCGTTACTTCACAATTTCTTTTAGGTTATCGGAATAAGCCAGTGAATATCAAATTTAAAATGAAGTTAGTTATCCCTAAAAGGGCTTTGATAGCATATATAGTGGATAAAGGTTTGATTGAAAGATAATGCTTGATTCCACTAGCACAATAATAAAAAAGAACAAATTTAGAAGAGCTTTTTATACTTTCCAAACTTTACATTTTAGTGTATCTTCTTGTTTTGTGAATTTGGTTTCTAATATAGGTCTAATCTTAATGTTATTGGTATCTACAGCTGAACGTAGAAAAAAGCCCTTTTCAGAGAACATATGCAGGCCAGGTGAGTTTTAATCTTCCTTTGAACTGTTGGCTACTCATTACCCATTGAGTCTTAAATTAGGAATAGAATTTGGCATTTGCAATTGAAGTTTGGAAATTGTAAGCTTTGACATTTGGCTTACTTCTTGAAACTTTTATTTATTGGATCTGTATTTTAACTTACTTCTTTTGTGAAGATTAAAAGATGTGCAGAATTGGCACGGAAGCTGCGTTTCTTCAAAGATCAAATGTCAAAGGCAGATATCATTCCCTCTGGGAAACTCGATACCAAAGCTGGCCTTAATCTGGATGACCTTGAGGTATATACAACTTTTCTTATCCATACATAAACTTATACCATCTTTAAAAAACTTAATTTTTTTCCTCTTGTGATCTTTTTAGGTGAATCTTGGAGATCTTGAAGCCGAGCTTGTTGAAATCAATGCAAATAGTGAAAAGTTGCAGCGTGGCTATAATGAGCTTGTAGAATATAAGCTTGTTCTGCAAAAGGTATATCTTATGCCAGTCCTTTTTCCACACCTTTTGGCTACCCTTTTACTCTTTGCATTTATGGTAAGTAACTGTTTCACAGGCTGGAGAGTTTTTCAAAGTGGCTCAAAGCAGTGCTGCAGACAGCATGGAGAAGGTTCATCACATCAGGGTGCTGAAGAATCTTTGGAAACTCCTCTATTGACTGATCAGGTACATGTTATGACATCATTAGTTTATTTCATTACTGAGTGTAGGTTTGACATGTACATGATTCTTTCTGATTATTGTGTATAGGAGTCAACAGTTGACCAAGGAAAACAAGTCAAATTAGGGTATATCACTGGGCTTGTGGCTAAAGAAAAAGCCATGGCTTTTGAAAGAATTCTGTTTCGTGCTACAAGGGGTAATGTCTTTTTAAGGCAATCTTCTGTTGATGAAGCTGTTACTGATCCTAGTTCAGGAGAAAAGGTTAGTTCCAATTTCCACGTCAGCTAATACCTGTCATCCATGTCAGCATTAAACATGACTACTTCTTTACAGGTTCAAAAAAGCGTCTTTGTGGTTTTCTTTTCTGGAGAAAGAGCCAAGAGCAAGATTCTTAAGATATGTGAAGCTTTTGGAGCAAATCGTTACCCTTTTCCAGAAGATTTGAGCAAACAAACACAAATGATAACTGAGGTACACAGAATTCTTGATATTTATAAAATAGAATTTTATAAAATTAGGACACTGATTATATAAAAATGTAACTTTCCAGGTATCTGGAAGGCTATCTGAACTAAAGACAACAATAGATACTGGACTTGTGCATCGTACTAATTTGTTGGAAACCATTGCAAAACAATACGAACAATGGAATGACCTGGTATGTGTAATAAAGAGAAAATTGTAGGAAATAGCAACTTACTTTATTCTTTTTACTAATTTAAGAATTGTTTTTTGCTTTTTCTTTATAAAGCTAATTTCTTTGTTTTAATTTTAACATTGACTTCATTATGTTTATGTTGCTGTTTTAAGGTTCGAAAGGAGAGAAATCTATTTATCACACGCTAAATATGCTTAGCATTGATGTAACAAAGAAGTGTCTTGTTGCTGAAGGATGGAGTCCCATATTTGCAACCCAACAGGTTTATATCACTCTCTAGTCTCTACTATATATATGTTAAATATTATGCTCGAAGGATGTAAAATTACGTTTCTGCCCCTTGTCTTTGCAGATTCAAGAAGCACTCCAGCAGGCAACAATTGATGCTAAGTCACAAGTGGGTGCCATTTTCCAAGTTTTGCATACGAAAGAAATGCCCCCAACTTATTTCAGGACAAATAAATTTACCGAGTCTTTTCAAACAATTGTTGATGCATATGGGTAAGCATTTCTGTAGGGGTAAATGGAAGAAGTAGTAATGTGATTTGAAAAATGTAAATGTAATCCAATTATTATATGTTGCTACAGTGTTGCAAGGTATCAAGAAGCAAACCCTGGAGTATACACTGTTGTCACGTTTCCATTTCTTTTTGCTGTGATGTTTGGTGATTGGGGGCATGGAATATGCATCCTGATTGCAGCTTTATTTTTAATATTCAAGGAAAAGAAATACTCAAGTCAGGTAAGTAACCAGTTTTTATATCATACTTAATCTTATGAGAGATAGATTTTGAATTTATAATTTATATGAAATGAATACAGAAACTTGGAGACATAATGGAAATGACTTTTGGGGGTCGATATGTTATATTCTTGATGGCTCTATTTTCAATCTACACGGGTTTGATATATAATGAGTTTTTCTCAGTTCCTTTTGAGTTATTTAGTCCATCAGCCTATGCCTGTCGTGATGATGCCTGCAGGTACTTACCCCCCCCCACCCACCCCGTTGTCTGTTTTATCTTTCAGTAAATTGCATTTTTGGTCCCTAAGTATGAATGGTTTTCATTTTTGGTCCCAAACAGTTTTCTCTTGAAGTTTTGGTCCTTATTTGAGGTTTTTGTAACGTTTTTGGTTCAATAACTAAATTTTTGGGACTAAAATTGAAAATATCAGCTATACCTGGGGACCAAAACTAGTCATTTTACTTGGAAGGGAGATGAAAAATGTTACAAGAACCTCAAATAAGGACCAAAGTTCAACTTTTTTTTTTTTTTAAGTAAGTTACACTTTTGGTCTCCTAGTGTAGTTGTGTAACTACTTTTTGCAATTTTGGTCCCAAAAATTTCCCCTAGTGTAGCTAAGTTTTGCAAATTTGGTCCCAAAATGTTGTCTTGCAACTTTAGTCCTTATTTGAGGTTTTTGTAACGTTTTGGTCTTTGGTCCAAGTAAAATAACTTATACTTTTGGGACCAATATTGAAAAAATCAGCTCTAATCAGAGACCAAAAATGTAAATTACATTTTATCGTTTTTTTTTTTGTAAATTACAAATTTGGTATCCTAGTGTAGCTAATTTTTGCAATTTTGGTCTCAAAAAGTTGTTCTTATTTGAGGTTTTTGTAAACATTTTGGTCCCTTGTCGTAAAATGTCTATACTTTTGGGACCAAAACTGCAAAAATCAGCTATAATGAGGGATCAAAGTAGTCATTCTACTTGGGATTGAAATGGAAAACGTTACAAGAACCTCAAATAAAAAGACCAAAATTGCAAGACAAACTTTTTGGGACCAAAATTGATAAAAGCAGCTATACTCAGGGACCAGAAATGTAATTATTCTTTATCTTGTTAATCTTTTTTTTTGTGCATGCAGTGAGGCTACAACTATAGGTTTAATAAAGGTGCGTGACACATACCCATTTGGTGTGGACCCCGTATGGCATGGAAGTCGAAGTGAATTACCATTTCTCAATTCCTTAAAGATGAAAATGTCTATTCTTCTTGGTGTTGCACAAATGAACCTTGGAATAGTATTGAGCTTTTTCAATGCTATCTACTTCAAGAACAGTGTCAATGTCTGGTGAGTTAACCATATTTCAAACATGTATGTATGTATGTATTTATGTTTAGTAATTAATAAATTATATGTTGCAAAATGTTCAGGTTCCAATTTATACCCCAGATGATATTTTTTAAACGGTCTATTTGGCTACCTTTCACTCCTTATTATTTTGAAGTGGATCACTGGTTCAAAAGCTGATTTATATCATGTAATGATATATATGTTCCTTAGCCCCACTGATGATCTTGCTGAAAATGAGCTTTTCCCAAATCAGAAAACCGTTCAGGTTCAATTCTCTTCCTCCAACACTAATTTATAACTAGAAAACTAAATAAATTAAGTTGATGAATAAAGCAAAAAATGTTATTTTTTTTTTTTATAAAAATAAAACTTTATTCAACTAAAGTTTAATAGAAATGATTTGATTGGCAATGGCAATGGCAGCTTGTGCTACTACTTCTATCCTTAATTGCTGTCCCATGGATGCTGCTACCCAAGCCTTTCATTTTAAAGGCACAGCATAACAGGGTATGTCATGTTCTTTTTATTTTTTTTAACCTTTTTTGATAAATATTAAAAGACCATGTTATATATTTATATATATTATATTTAATGTTCCAGACACACCAAGGTGAGTCCTACGTGGCACTTGAAGGGACAGATGAGTCACTGGTGGAGGGAGGTCATGATGGTTCCCATGATCATGAAGAGGAATTTGAGTTCAGTGAAGTGTTTGTTCATCAACTTATTCATACAATTGAGTTTGTACTTGGGGCAGTGTCAAATACTGCTTCCTATCTTCGTTTATGGGCACTCAGGTAAATTTTAATCTTCTTTTCTTTAAAAAAAATATTAGAAAGGGCAAGATAGTCTTTTCACATAGAACAGGGACGACCAAAACCGCAAGATTTGGAAACCATAGGGACGCAACGCAACCTATCAACTTTTTAAAAGTTGGACTGTAACTGCGAATTTGACCAAACCACAGGGACCATTTCTGCAACTTATTCTAAAAAATATTAAAAGGGTAAAATGGTAATTTTATGTCTGATAACGAAACTTGTAATTTCAGCTTGGCGCATTCGGAATTATCCACTGTGTTCTACGAGAAGGTTCTTCTTCTTGCGTGGGGGTAAGTTTTCTAATCAACATCAGTCTCAGTCTAATGCATGTCAAACACAGTTACACAGACATTATTATTAATATTTTTTTAAAAATTTATAAATAGGTACAATAATGTGATTATCCTTGGTGTGGGGATAATTGTATTTGTGTTTGCAACTGTGGGGGTGTTGTTGGTGATGGAAACACTTAGTGCCTTTCTACACGCGTTAAGGCTTCACTGGGTGGAGTTTCAAAACAAGTTTTATGAAGGAGATGGCTACAAATTTGCTCCCTTTTCATTCGCGTTGCTAGTTAATGAAGACGAATGATCACGTGCCACCTGTCCATATTTGCATTTGTAATTTTCCTATCTTGCCCTTTCGATTTGGACTTGGACGATATATGTGTAAAAAACAATGACAAGTGAGAGAGAGAGAGAGAGACCTTTCTGCCAGCATTCCACCATTTTTTTTTCACCAATAAGAAGAGCATTCTAGTGGCTTAATGTGAAGTGTCATAAGTTATAACACTTTGTATTTGATGACATTTTGGTAATGAGAATTTGTTTATTTATGCAAATTATTTATGTTTATGTTCCAAAAAGTTTGGACTTTTGACTAATTGTGTTTGGTTGTTGAAGTTAAACGTGTACTTTATCGACCTTTATGGTTGTTGAATATGATTAAAAAGAGTATACTGGTATAAAGCTAATCTAATCTTTCAAGTGTAAATTACATTCAGTTTTATTGGTTCTGTTCCAAAAAAAGTTATCTTGTAATTTTGGTCTTAAGCTCTTTTGTTACAGTTTTGATACATGTTTCAAGTAAAATGAGTAAAATCAGGATCAAATTTGAAAAAAATTAGCCATTTTATTTGGAATTCGGGACAAAATTAAAATGAACTAAAGTTGCAAAAATGCTTATTATTTAGTGACCAAAAATGTAATTTACTTTATTTTTTAATAAAGCTATTTAATATGCTATAGACAACCCGAATAAAAAAAAACTTTGCGCTTAAATTTTTTATTTAACAATAAACTAATAATCTAAAAATTATGTCGAGTAACTTTTATCTTTTAGTTTAAAAAGTTTATAACTATTTTTGCCAAAATACTTATCCTTATTATAATAATAAAAACTATTTGATTGACACTGAACTATTTTTATGTATAATGATACTACATGTTATTTTCTTAGTATTTTTTGTTTATTTTTATTTCATTTGATATAAATCTCAAATTTTAAGGAGTTTAAAATTTAGTGTTATACTTTTTTTCATGTATTCTTAATAAAACTTTTATTTTCTTATTATTTTTGTAATGAATTTAAATTTATCTAATATAAACCCGTAAATTTAAGAAATTTAATATTAAATAACAATTTATTCTCGTTATTCTTTAACATAATCAAAATCAAAAAATTCAATATATAATCCCTATATACAAATAATTATTTTTATATTTATAATTATATATAATATTTTTATTATTGAATTTTTTATATCACTTGTGTAATACGCGAGTTTACCACACAAATAAAAACGACAACATCCAACTATCAGCTAGTTTTAATATCTACCTCTTCTAATAAATGAAACCTAAAAATGACATGTGTCAGTTTTTTAGAATGTCTTTTTGACACGTGGCATTTTTTATGATTATTATTATTATTTTTTGTAACAAATCAAATTCAATTCAAATTTTGAAAATACAAAATCATATCCTAATAGCATTATTATGTTATTTTGCTTAACAAATTAATTCATAATTACTTACAATCCACAATATCTTGTTTTTTTTTTACATTTATTATTTTTTTTATCTATATAAAATTTTTAAATATACCGACCGTGGTTTCCACTGATTATAACCTAGTAACTTAGTATATGTATATTAAATGACAATATCAGTGGTAGTTTTCAACGATATGTGGCTATCCTATATTTTTTAAAGTGATAATTTTTATCTCTTTATTTTTTAAAGTACTTTGTAAAATGATATTTTTCACCCCTATATTTTTTAAAATATCATTTTCACAACATTCACTTTAAACTTTGTAAAATATCACTTTCTCCCCTTCCATTTCCTTAATTACTTTCATTCATTAACTTAAAGAAAACTATTTTTACGTGCTTATTTTAATGTAAGCGTCGGTATAAGTTCAAGGTGGTCAATGTTTCGATATAAACTTGTAGCTTTCGCTCGTTATTATTATTTAAAAAAAATTTACTTGTTTTTTTTATGTACGCGTTGGTATAAATTTGAATTTGCCTTCGTTTCGATGTATTTTTTTTCTATTTTTTCGTGCTTATATATATGTACGTTTCATACGTATGAGTTGGGTCACATATAATACAAATTTGATTATTTGAACTTTTGTTAAATATTACTTACTTATTTTTATGTATGTGTCGTATAAATTTAGTTTCTTTACGTTTTGATGTAAATTATATATATTTTTTTGTACTTATTTCTATGTATATTTCATACGTACGGTTGCATATAATAAGTTTTCATTCAACGATATAAAGTAGAGTTAGTCAGTGGTACTGACTTTGTATATTTATCTACCAACAAATACAATGATATATAATTTTTATCAATATAATTGTCAAAATTCAATTTATAAAATGGATTGACGCCACCGAACTTTGGGTACTTCTAATTTTTCCCATGTTACGTGTTTGAGTTTTAACTATTTTTTCTCTTAATCTTTTTACCTATTGGAACCATCGTATTAATACCGATTATGCAACAAAAAGGCATACATGTTTAAGTTTCCTAATTAATAATTCAAAACAGGTATCGATTAATAAGTAACTAAATACATAAAATATCAGTTAAAATAGAAATAACGTTTGTCCTCAATTGATACAAATGCTCATGATGTCGTATGAAAAAAAAAAAAAAATCCAAATTCACCAACATGCGTGACAAAATTAATACCACACGAAGTTGACATGACTTCAAATATAAAACAACCAGACTTTATATTTAATAAAGTCTTCTATTTAAAAAGTATAAACATAATTTTTTTTTTTTTTTTTTTTTTATGTAACAGTCGACTCATTTGTCCATCTCGGCCACTAAGATGTTATTGGTCCAGTGCAGTGAACCCCCCATGCCCCATGCCCTTCCTTTCTGACCTTTGTTTAATTGTTTTAACATATTTGGGGCGACTCGACAAAAGCCAAAAGAGTATTGTTTTTAAGTAGGGTTGCAAACTTGCAATAATTAATTTTAATTGATTTATTTTGAAATCAAATTTTATTACATATAATGAGCCAAACTCAAATATAGTCGCTTTCCTTGAAATTGAGTTACCACAAATAATTTTCAGAATAATCCAATAATATGCACTTAAATCTTAGGCACAAGAACGTTAAACAATGTATTAGATTCATATTGAGATTATTCTAATATCAAAGTTCTAGAATGTGGAGTATTATGAGTATTTATATTTATATTTATGCCTCCAAAAAATGGATAACGATGATGAAGATGTCAGTTTTTGAAAGTTAAATATAATTACAAACGGATCTACCTGGATCAAGTAAATTAGACAATATCCAACCATATGGAGTTTAATCGATTGAGCTTAAACCCAGATGATGGCGTTGATGTAGAAGATGCATTCAAGCTAGAACACCTCCACGAGTATTTATATGAGCAAACAGAAGACACCAATGAATGCTAATCTCTATTCTAATAAATGAATAAGTTCATTCTCCTATTGACAAATGTCATACTATTAGAACTCCTTATTAATGAACGCTAATCTCTATTCTAATAAATGAATAGGTTCATTCTCCTATTGACAAATGTCATACTATTAGAACTCCTTATTAATATTATATGTCACCTATCATGCCACTTGTCAACCTATTAATTATCAATTTCAAATTTTAAATTTTAAATTCTTTACTCTAATTACATTAAATTAATAATTGATTCTCCATTTTTAAATTTCAAATTTTAAATTTTTTCACTTTGACTATATTAAATAAATAACATTAGATTAAAAAATAAAATAAAATTAATACAGACTATAATATGATATAGATAGGGCTGTAAACGAACTGAACGTTCGGCGAACAGTTCGTGAACTGTTCGGCGGGAAGTTCGTTTATGTTTGTTTATTTAATAAATGAACGAACATGAACAAAAATTTTCGTTCGTTTAGTTAAATGAACGAACATGAACAATGG